GTTTAATATAGTTGCTGAGGGTTTAAATCTACTGATTGAAAGTCCAAACGAGTTGGGGCTTATAAAAGGTACATGTGTGGGGCATAATGAGTTAAGCTTTTCCCATCTACAATTTACAGATGATACTATTATATTTTGTGAGGCAGAGAAGAGGGAAATAATGAATATCAAGAGAATTTTAAGATGCTTTGAGGTAATGTCCGGATTGAAAACAAATTTTCATAAAAGTGTGATGTGTGGAGTTGGTGTGAGTGAGGAGGAGGTTAACCATTTTGCCTCAATTCTTAATTGTCACAGTCAAAAGTTTCCTATTAATTATCTGGGATTACCTCTTGGGGCAAATCCAAATAGGAAAAATGCATGGCAACTAGTTATTGAGAAAGTGAGATTGAAGTTGGCTGCATAGAAGAGGAAATTCCTTTCATTTGCTAGTAGATTAACATTAATCAGGTTAGTTCTATTAAGCTTGCCATCCTATTTTTTTGTCATTGTTTAGAATACCTATGGGTATGGCTAAGTAGATTGAGAAGATTCAGGCAGCATTTCTTTGGGGTAGCTCTGATATTAAAAAGAAAGTCCATATGGTGAAATGGGAGAAGGTAGCAGTAAACAGAAATCAAGGGGTTTGGTGGAAAAAAAATTGAGAGAAGTTAATGATTGTCTATTACTCAAATGGTGGTGGAGGTTTGGGTTTGAGAACAAAGCTCTATGGAAACAAATAGTGAGTTGCAAGTACGGTGTGGTTGGTGGAAGCTGGGTACCCAGTTTACTAGATTCTAAATCAGTATCCAGAATATGGGTTAATGTCCTTCAACTTGTTGTACATAGAAGAGATCTGGTACATTATTATTTATCAAATCTTAAATTAGTTACATGTAATGGGGAAAGAATCCAGTTTTGGCAAGATAAATGGATCAACAATGTGTGTTTAAAGGAGGAAATCCCCAGGTTATATAGTTTATCTGAGGGCAAAGGATGCACCATTAAGCAGATGTATCAAAGAAGGAGTTCTGTACATGAGTGGAATCTATCTTTTAGAAGAGTTCTATTAGCTTGGGAGGGGGAGGTTACAAGGCTGCATGAAGTACTAAGGGAAGCACCTTCACTTACTATAAAGTCTGAGAATTCATGCATATGGTTGGCCAATCCCTTAGGTAGCTTCACAATAGCAACAAAATGGAATTGGTGGAAGTCTTTGAAAGGTCCCATTGTTAGAGTAGCTGATGAGCTGTGGAATAATATTACTTCACCCAAGGTGAAATTTTGTGGGTGGTTAGCTTGGAGAGGTAGACTTAAAACTACAACTTTTTTGGAGAGGATTGGTGTGTCGAATATGGAAGCAAATTCATTGTGTTTATTTTGCAAAGCAGAGGAGGAGACAGTAAGTCATGTCTTATTGTTCTGTCCTCTGGTTTGGAAAGTGTGGACTGATATGTTAAAGTGGTGAGATATGGTTTGGGTTTTGCCAGGATCAGTTGAGAGTCTATTGCTGTGATAACCCTGTTCCGTATTATGCTAATTGATCTTAATTATGATTGCGATTATGTGTTCAATACGATTTTGAGTGCCATTATATGATTATATGTGGTTTTGAATTTCTATCTGTTCACCGTAGGAAAATCTGTTAAACTTACTATTGTAAACTAAAATTGAAGGCCTTATTAGCCACAGAAATCGAAATTGATTACGCCATTGTGATTAGCGTAATTTTTAGAGCCTACAGTAAAATTTAATTAGAAATTGATTCGGATCAAATAATTAGATTCAAAATGATTAAATTGGGATTAATTAATTAGCCTTAATCAAACTTGATTAGGCCGATATTTATAAGTGGCCTATTTACATTTTTGAGCATTGTTTTGAGCTCATTTCTCTCCTTTGGCTGAGATTACACTCTAGAGAGAATGACAGTGCTGAATTTAGAGAGAGAGAGAGAACTCAAGATAGAGAATTATTCAAGGAGCATGGTGATCTGGAAGATTAACTCAAGATTTAACTACATTTGTGAAGATTGGAGCTCCTAGGTGAGTAAATTCATGAGTTTGAGTTTGTAATTTTGTGAATTCAAAATTAAATGGTAATCAAGAACATGAATTGAGTTGATTATGGTGAAATTGAAGTTGGTATGTACATGCATAAAGAGAATTGCCATGAATTTGCATAATCCAACATGTAGCATGTCAATTATGAGAAATTGAGAATTGAATCATACATGCAAGCATGGTTTTGTTAAGCTTCATGAGAATAAACATCCATTGTGTCATTTGAAATGGTATTGGGGTCCATATTACACATGCATAAATGATCCATAGAGATATGGAGTTTGTATAAAGTTAGAATGCATGAGCTTTGACCATGTCAAAAAGAATGTTGAATAATTTGAGAATAAAATCATGATTTTGAGCAATTGGCCTCATATTGTTTATGTCCTTATGATATATGATGTGCTCCCACGTTTTTGAACTAAGGACATGAGTTTTGGGCCTTTCAATGTCAAGGTTGAGCTTTAAGAACAATTCTGGAAATTCTAGAATTTGGCATGTCCGCTCGAACGGAAAGAACGCCGCTCAAGCGTGAAATGTTAGCTCCTAGAACTTTTGTAGACACTGATATCAGCTCGAGCGGGGAGAGTCACGCTCGAGCGTCATTCACATGTTTCAACTCTTAGCTCGAGCGTCCAAAGTCACGCTCAAGTGCAAAAATGAGGCAACCAGTACTTTTGCAGACCAGAGGGGTCCGCTCGAGCGGCGGAAACCACGCTCGAGGGGGTAGCCTTATTTCAGAAATTTTGAGAAGTTGTTTTGTGCTTTACTTTCCGTTCCCTTCTATTTCTAAGCACTCTTAGGCATACATTGAGCATTGTAAATGAATCAAGAAGATAAGAAAGACGCCTAAGAGGAATGTATAAGTTAGGAATGGATTGAATAGCTTGTGACCCAATATGTGTTATGTGTTGTGTAGGGTCAAGTACAACGGCGAATCCACCGGCAGAACACTGTGAATAATATCTTAGTAAAGATATTCTAAAGTATGCTATTTGTCCAATTGCTTACTCCTATTTGAGTTTCATAAATCTGTTAAATTGAATTATGGACAAATATTCGTTATACTGCATGATTGGGCCAAAGGGTGTTTGGCATGAATGATTGGGCCAAAGGCTGTTTGATATGAATGATTGGGTCAAAGGACGTCGGGTATGAATGATTGGGCCAAAGGCCGTCGGATATGACTGAATTGGGCCCAAGGCCGTTTGACACATCAGGATCTGTGGTCGCTTGATGCACTAGATAGAAACATGAATTGGGCCCAAGGCCCTCTGATGTATTTGTTTCAAATTCCGTTCATGTATCTTCTTTATTTGATATTATTCACTGGGCTTTCACTCACTCTCATTCATGTGTTAGTAGGTGAGCCAAGAGATGTCCAAACCTAGCCTCAGTAAAGTATGTGAGAAACAGTCGAAGTTTTGGAGAGTCAACCCGAATGTCTCACGCACGAGACTTGTTTTTGCCATTTTGTTCTTTTGTGATAATTTTGGTATGATTGGCGAAAACGTTGGACCACCTTTGTATATAAGCTTTGGGTTTAGCTGACTAAGGCTTGAATGATCCTATTGTGTAAAACTTATATGTTATTTCCCTTTTAGTGTGGGTTATTAATGAATATATCTTTGGGATGTTTTGATATGCCATGTAAGCACGGCTCTATGGACAATTTGTAAGTTTGTTTCCGTTTTGGCACCTCAACTCCAATGAAATATGTTTTATTTGGTTTGAGGCTGTAGGTAATCCCTTGATTACTGGTCAGTTATGACCTTAATGCATAGGAGTGGGTTTGGGTCATGGTAGAGTGGTATCAGAGCACTAGTTAATAAGTCACACACTTGTCCAAATGAGCAATTAGCATCTAGAAAAGATCTAGGATGCATTCATGTGATAAGTATGAATCTGAAAAGCATTAAGAACTTGCCGAAATGTTTCGAAATGAATGATTATATGCTATATGTTTGTGACTTACTTGCATTGCGAATTATTTGAATATGTGTGCTCTTTAGTATGTGCATACTTGCGAACCTTTTGTATAAGAAACAATGCAAGTCTAATCAGATGGTGAGAATAAGAGGTGATGAGATAGAGGAGTCTTCTACTGCCAGAGTGGATAGGATGGAAAGACTGATTCAGGAAATGGCAGAAACATTAAGGCAATAACAACAGTGGCAACAACCACATCCTCCGCCTCCTCCTCTAGTGTCACAAATGCAAGACATTCAGAATGATGACCGAATAATCGCTCTCACCAAAAAGTTTAAGAAAATGAAACCGCCATAGTTTCATGGGGGATTAGATCTGTTAAAGGCAGAAGCATGGGTTCTTGGAATAGAAAAGTTGTTTGAAGTGCTTCCTTGCCTAGAAACGCAAAAAGTATTGCTAGCCACTTTTACTCTTGAAGATGAGGCAAGAAAGTGGTGGATGCTAATGCCTGAAAGCAATAAGGATATTGGTTGGGCACGGTTCTTGGAGATTTTCTACGACAAATATTTTCCACAATGTGTCTGTGACAGGAAAGTATCGAAATTCATGGAACTTAAACAAAACAGCATGACAGTAGTTGAGTATGAGGCCAAGTTCACTGAATTGGCCAGATTTTCACCACATGTGGTCGACACCGACTAAAAGAAAGTGAGACATTTTGAAGGAGGACTTCGAGATGATATCTTAGAAAAGGTAAATGTTCTCAAGCTGGAAACCTACATTGAGGTGCTAGATCGGGCCATAATATCAGAAGCTAACATAGCCAGATAGGCCAAATCAACAACTGACTGGAAGGGTAGTAAAAGGCAAGGCTTCTTTTCGAAGAAGAAATTTTCAAAGAAGAAAAATACAGGCTCCTCATGTACTTCTAATTCTTCCCAAGATACATCTCCAATGTGCAATATTTGCAATAAAAGGCATCGCGGAGCTTGTTACTGCTTGTTAAGGGCTTGTTTTAAGTGTTGCAAAATGGGGCATATGGCCAGAGATTGTAATCAAAATAATGGAAAGTTAGCTGCTAGCTCCATTGCATCGATCCCAAAACCGGAAAATACTACGAGATCTACTACCACCAGAGATACCGTGAGGCAAGGGAGAGTTTTTGCGCTTGTTCCTGGCGATACGCGGAATGCTGAAGCCGTTGTCTCAGGTACTACCTCTATATGCAATCAAGACGCTTTTGTGTTAATTGATTCCGGCTCAACACATTCCTTTGTGTCTACTATGTTTGCATCTAGATCTAAATTGAGTAGACCTCTAGAATCATTGCCATATTTGCTATGTGTATCTGCTCCATCTGGGGAATCTGTGTTGTGTACATCTGTTTATCGATTTTGTGACATGTGTATTGGGAATGTTATTCTGTATGTAGATTTGTTGCCCTTGGACTTTAGACATTTTGATATAATTTTGGGCATGGATTGGTTAACTAAATATTGTGTCACCATTGATTTTCTAACAAAACGGGTTGTATTTAAATCACCAAAATAGGAAGAAATTGTGTTTGTGGGTAATGGGGTAGTGCCTCCACCTTACTTGATATCTTCAATAAAAGCATGTAAATTGATCAGGAAAAGAGTGCTAGGGTTATTTGTGTTGTGTGCTAATCCTGAACAAAGTTGATGTAGATTTGAGTAGTATCCCTATTGTTAGCGAGTTTCCAGATATACTCCCAAATGAATTGTCAGGAGAATTAGTTGACAGGAAAATAGAGTTCACCATTGAAGTTGTGCCAGGCACTCAGCCTATTTCTAAAACTCCTTATAGAATGGCTACAACTGGAATGAAAGAAGTGAAAGAACAATTGCAAGACTTGCTTGACAAAGGGTTCATCCAACCTAGTACTTCATGCGGTGCACCAGTGTTGTTTGTGAAAAGAAAGACGGAACTCTATGCTTGTGTATTGACTATCGAGAACTGAATAAGGTGACAATAAAGAATAAATATCCCTACCTCATATTGATGATATTTTTGACCAGTTGCAAGGATCACCAGTGTTTTCCAAAATTGATTTGAGATTCGAGTATCACCAGTTGAAGGTGAAAGCAGAAGATGTTGAGAAAACCGCATTCAGAACGAGGTATGGTCATTATAAATTTCTTATTATGCCATTTGGGGTGACTAATGCTCCTGCAGCATTTATGGACCTAATGAACCGAATTTTTAAGACCTACCTTGATGATTTTGTTGTAGTTTTTATTGATGATATTTTGATATACCCAAGGAGTAGACTTGAACATGAACAACATTTGAGGGCAATTTCGCAAACACTTAGAGAAAAGAAATTATTTTCCAAACTAAAGAAATGTGAATTTTGGCTGGATGAAGTTATCTTTTTAGGGCATGTTATCAACAAGGAGGGGATTTTAGTGGACCCACAAAAGATAGAGGCAATTATGAATTGGCCTACACCGACAAATGTAACAGAGGTCTGCAGTTTCATCGGCTTAGCTGGGTACTACAGAAGGTTTGTGAAAGTCTTTTTGAAAATAGCTGTGCCTCTTACCCGACTGACATGCAAAGGACAACCATTTGAATAGAACAACAAAAGAGAATCTACCTTTCATGAACTAAAAACGAGACTGACCACTGCGCCAGTTTTGACATTACCATCAGGTACGGAAAACTTTGTGATTTTTAGTGATGCATCTTATAAAGGCTTGGGTTGTGTATTAATGTAGAATGGAGGGGTGATTGCCTACGCCTCCCGGCAGTTGAGGCCATACGAGAAAAACTACCCAACACATGACTTAGAATTGGCCGCAGTTGTATTTGCTTTAAAAATCTGGCGGTATTATTTGTATGGGGAAAAATGCGTAGTCTACACGGATCACAAGAGTTTGAAATACTTCTTTACGCAAAAAGAGCTGAATATGCGACAGAGAAGATGGCTCGAATTGATAAAAGATTAAGATCTTCGGATTCAATATTACCCCAGGAAAGCCAATACAGTTGCTGATGCCTTGAGCAGAAAGTCGACGGGGAATTTAGCTTTCTTGCTTACTAAACGGAAAGAAATCTTACTAGATTTTGAGAGAACTGAGAATGAAGTTATATTACACGAACAGACCGGGTTGGTCACCGCCATTTTAGCTGAACCAACAATAATTACTGAAATTAAACAGAGGCAAAAAGATGATGAATTCCTCAAGAAAGTGATCGATGAATTTGAGACAAGTCCGAAAGCAGAGTTCAGCATTGAAAATGAAGTGTTGAGATTTTGAAACCTAATGTGTGTCCCAGATGTTCCGAAACTAAAGAAGTGAATTCTAGATGAAGCCCATAAATCAGTGTTTGTTATGCATCCGGGTAATGAAAAAATGTATCGGGATTTGAAACAAAGCTATTGGTGGCCCAAAATGAAGAAAGAGATTGCAAAGTATGTGTCCAAGTGCCTTTAATGTCAGCAAGTTAAACCTGAACATTAGAAACTAGGCGGCCTACTTCAGCCTCTCCCTATTCCTGAATGGAAATAGGAGCATGTGACTATGGACTTTGTTGTTGGTCTACCTCGAACTTCTCGAGGTATGGACTCTATTTGGCTTGTAGTTGATAGACTAACTAAATCTGCATATTTTCTGCCTGTTAGAACTACGTTTGATGCTTATAGACTAGCTACTATATATATTGACGAGATTGTTCGTTTACACAGAGTTCCGGTATCTATTGTCTCAGATAGAGATCCGAAATTTGTATCTAGATTGTGGAAAAGTTTGCAAAGAGCTATGGGGACAGAATTGAGGTTTAGTATCGCATTCTACCCACAGATAGACGGGCAATCAAAACGGACAATACAGGCCTTGGAAAATATGCTAAGAATGTGTGCCTTGGATTTTCAAGGGAGTTGGGAAGATTATTTGCCACTAGCAGAGTTTGCATACAATAACAGTTTCCACTCCAGCATTGGTATGGCACCATACGAGGCTTTGTATGGTAAAAGGTGTAGATCACCAATTTGTTGAACAGAAGTCGGGGACAGGGCTTTACTTGGGTCTAAAATTGTGAAGGATACTTCTGAAAGGATCAAAACTATTCAACAAAGGCTCAAGACAGCTCAGAGCTGGCAAACGAATTTTACGGATGTACGAAGAAGACCTCTTGAGTATGAGGTTGGTGACCATGTGTTTATTCGCGTGACTCCGATGAAGGGCTAAGTAAGATTCAGTAAGAAAGGAAAATTGTCGCCCCGATATATTGGGCCATTTCAAATTCTGGAAAAACTTGGTCCAATTGCCTATCAAGTCGCTTTGCCACCGGGATTCGAACAAATGCACAATGTATTCCATGTATCAATGTTGAGGGGCTACCTTCGAGATTCGTTTCATGTGATTGATTATCACCGGATAACTCTTGATAAAAATATGGAATATGTAGAATGGCCGGAACGAATCATTGACCGTTAGGTGAAACAATTGAGAAGCAAGTCCATCTTGATGATGAAGGTGGAATGGAGAGAACACTATGGGATGGATGCCACATGGAAAAAGAGGATGAAATGCGACTACGCTATCCACATTTGTTCCCCGACGAAGGTAAAATAAGTTTGGAGGACCAAACTTCCAAAAGGAGGGAAGATTGTGATAACCCTGTTTCGTATTATGCTAATTGATCTCAATTATGATTGCGATTATGTGTTCAATATGATTTTGAGTGCCATTATATGATTATATGTGGTTTTGAAAACCAAAATTGATTACACCATTGTGATTAGCTTAATTTTTAGAGCTTATGGTGAAATTTAATTAGAAATTGATTCGAATCAAAATAATTAGATTCACAATGATTAAAGTGGGATTAATTACTTAGGCTTAATCAAACTTGATTAGGCCAACATATATAAGTGGCCTATTTACATTTTTTAGCATTGTTTTGAGCTCATTTCTCTCCTTTGGCTGAGATTACACTCTAGAGAGAGTGAGAGTGCCGAATTTAGAGAGAGAGAGAGAAAGAGAGAGAGAGAGAACTCAAGATAGAGAATTGATCAAGGAGCTTGGTGACCTGGAAGATTAACTCAAGATTTAACTACATTTGTGAAGATTAGAGCTCCTAGGTGAGTAAATTCATGAGTTCGAGTTTGTAATTTTGTGAATTCAAAATTAAATGGTAATCAAGAACATGAATTGAGTTGATTATGGTGAAATTGAAGTTGGTATGTACATGCATGAAGAGAATTGCCATGAATTTGCATAATCCAACATGTAGCATGTCAATTATGAGAAATTGAGAGTTGAATCATACATGCAAGCATGGTTTTGTTGAGCTTCATGAGAATAAACATCCATTGTGTCATTTGAAATGGTATTGGGGTGTATATTACACATGCATAAATGATCCATAGAGATATGGAGTTTGTATAAAGTTAGAATGCATGAGCTTTGACCATGTCAAGAAGAATGTTGAATAATTTGAGAATTAAATCATGATTTTGAGCAATTGGCCTCATATTGCTTATGTCCTCATGATATATGATGTGCTCCCACTTTTTTGAACTAAGGACGTGAGTTTTGGGCCTTTGAATGTCAAGTTTGAGCTTTAAGAACAATTCTGGAAATTCTAGAATTTGGCATGTCCGTTTGAACGGAAAGAACGCCGCTCGAGCGTGAAATGTTAGCTCCTAGAACTTTTGCAGACATTGATGTCAGCTCGAGCAGGGGGAGTCACCCTCGAGCGTCAGTCACATGTTTCGACTCTCAGCTTAAGCGTCCAAAGTCACGCTTGAGCGCAAAAATGAGGCAACCAGTACTTTTGCAGACTAGAGGGGTCCGCTCGAGCGGCGGAAACCATGCTCAAGCGAGTAGCCCTATTTCAAAAATTTTGAGAAGTTGTTTTGTGCTTTATTTTTCATTTCCTTTCATTTTTAAGCACTCTTAGGCATACATTGAGCATTGTAAATGAATCAAGAAGATGAGAAAGAGGCCTAAGGGGAATGTATAAGTTAGGAACAGATTGAATAGCCTGTGACCCAATATGTGTTATGTGTTTTGTAGGGTCAAGCACAAGGGTGAATCCACCAGCAGAACACTGTGAGTAATGTCTTAGTAAAGATATTCTGAAGTATGCTATTTGTCCAATTGCTTACTCCTATTTGAGTTTCATAAATCTGTTAAATTGAATTATAGACAAATATTCGTTATGCGGCATGATTGGGCAAAAGGGCGTTTGACATGAATTATTGGGCCAAAGAGCGTTTGATATGAATGATTGGGCCAAAGGCCGTCGGGCATGAATGATTGGGCCAAAGGCCGTCGGATATGACTGAATTGGGCCCAAGGCTATTTGACATGTCTGGATAGGTAGTCGCTTGATGCACTAGATACAAACATGAATTGGGCCCAAGGCCGTCTGATGTATTTGTTTCAAATTCCATTCATGTATCTTCTTTATTTGATATTATTCATTGGGCTTTTGCTCACTCTCATTCATGTGTCTGTAGATGAGCCAAGAGATGTCCAAGCCCAGCCTCAGTAAAATATGTGAGAAACAGTTGAAGTTTTGGAGAGTCAGCCCGAACGTCTCACGCATGAGACTTGTTTTTGCGATTTTGTTCTTTTGTGCTAATTTTGGTATGATTGGCGAAAACGTTGGACCACCTTTGTATATAAGCTTTGGGTTTGGCTGACTAAGGCTTGAATGATCCTGTTGTATAAAACTTATATGTTATTTCCCTTTTGGTGTGGGTTATTAATGAATATATCTTTGGGATGTTTTGATGTACCATGTAAGCACAGCTCTATGGACAATTTGTAAGTTTGCTTCTGTTTTGGCCCCTCAACTCTGATGAAATATGTTTTATTTGGTTTGAGGTCGTAGGTAATCCCTTGATTACTGGCCGGTTATGACCTTAATCCATAGGGGTGGGTTCGGATCATGACAATTGCATTGGTAGGCAGGCTTGAAGTTCAAAAAGGTTGTTCTAAAAATGTGGAAAGCAATACCCTTAGCAACTCTGTGGTCAGTTTGGAAAGCTAGAAATGAGAGCCTTTTTAAAGGGAAGATTGTTGGTGAGAATGAATTATTTGAATTGGTGAAAGTGAGAGTGGCACTATGGAGTAAACAAAGTATCAGAGGATTGTCGTATTCAGTGCAGGATATAGTTAGCAACCTGGATCAAATCAAAGCTTAAGTGGTGGAGTTATTGGTCTTACTTCCTTACGTGTTGTGGGTGCTAGTATTTTTGATCAGTATGAGTGGTTGGAGTTGTTTCTATGTTTTCTTGTTTGCTTTGGTTGGTTTCTCATCAACCTGGGGTTTGATAGCATATGATTGCGCTAGACTTGCAGTGCCAACCTAGTTGGGATCGTTTGGTTTAGCTATGATACTTGCTGTCATCCCCTTGCTTTATTGATGTTTATATGATTTGTATCTTCATTTCATCAATAAAGGTTTTCTTTACTTATCAATATATATATAAATATGAGAAAATCAATAAGTTTAACAGTTTAGAGAGTACAAACCTAGGGATTTCGATACCGGGTGAGAGAGAACTCAGAAGAGAATGTACTGACTTAGGGTTTTCGATACCAGGTGAGTGAGAACTCGGAAGAGAAGTGAATCTGACTTGGTTTGACAAAAGAGAAACCCCTTGTTGCAAAACGGCATCACCAGAAAATGGAAAATCTTCGACTAGTCCGCCATAGACATCGTCATTGGTTGTTGCTTAGCGGAATCGAGATTCGTCTTCAATCGACGATGAAATCTTTCATTGATTAAAGCTTGTAAATGGAAGTGATGTAGAAAATGATGAAGAGAAAGGGAGTGGGAAGATCAGATCAATATTGTAAATCACAGATCTAGAGATATTTATATATATATATATATATGTGTGTGGAGAGAGAGATGCACCAAATTTGTAGAATATTTGAAGAAGATGATAGATCTACTATGGATTGAAGCTTATAGATCTCATAAAATCGTAGATCTAGATATATATATATATATAGGCGAGGGCGGAGAGAGAGAGAGAGAGAGAGAGAGAGAGAGAGAGAGAGAGAGACGCACCAAATTTGCAGAACATTTGAAGAAGATAATAGATCTACCATGGATTCAAGCTTATACATCTCACATCTGCCTTGGATAGCTGCCGAAGAGGAAAAGTGTTCCATCGCTGCGGAGAGGAGAGGAGAGGAGGGTGAGATCGAAAATCTTGAGGGCAAACCTGATAAAAAAAGATAGTGAACTTGGAAAATTAGGCCTGAAGAGAGAGTTTTTATAGCCCCGATTTTTTAATTGTGGAAAATATTTGGTCTCTAAAAGGGTAAATTGTGTATTTACAACGAAATTAATTTGTCTCAAAAAATTTGGTGAATATTATACAAAGCATACACATGAAAAAGTTAGAATGTTTAAATTTGTTTCTAAAGAATTGTTTTAGAGACCAAATTTACTTGGTCCCCAAATATTAGTCTCTAAAACATTAATTTCTTGTGGTGTCATGGCAGTAATTGCGTGCCGTGGAAAGTGCAATATTTTCAACGGCTGGCTTTTTGTGCGTCGTGGAAAGTACAATTTTTAACGGCAAGTTTTTTGTGTGCCTTGAAATGTTCAATATTTTTTAACAGCTGGTGTACGCGTGTCGTGTACAATGGATGTATTCACAGCATGCCATATGCACGTCATAGAAAATTTTATTATTTACAACTAACATTGCAAGTCGTAAAAAAATTATCGTTATTTGTATTTATAACCTATGCAATAGACACGTCGTGGTTGGGAAATTATTTATGACATGCAAAAAAAAGCAAGTCGTAAAAGTGAGAAACCATGACTTACATTTACTATATGTCGTTGATGTGAAGTTGTAAAAACTCAATTTCATTATAGTGGTAGCTAATGAAGCTTGTGATTAAATGATTCAATTTAACTATGTCATATTAAATTGCATAAAGTAATGTTTCAATATCACTTATATTTTAAAAGTACTAGTAACATAGAAAAACAATAGTTGGGTGACTACCTGAGTTGCCTTAGGTAAGTTTTCAACAATATTCCAGTCTAAAACAATATCCACTTGAGATTCATCATGCACAATTCCGGTTTCTGGTTCAGAAATACCTTCTAATGTTTCATTATTGGTTCTAGCTTGGATTCTACCATAATTGTACTATCACAGAAAATTGAAATAAAAATTTATTAGAACATGGAATCAAAACAGAATATATTTTACTATTGGACCATAATTTGGAACCAATTGATACACTCCATGGCTTTAATGCACTATATATTCTTTGTATAACATTGGACATCAAATTTGAAAATTTTGCTAGAAAACTAGAAGGAATCTAAGGTTGAGTTATTAGAATGCTTAACAAATGTAGTTTAAACATATAGTTTGAGAAACCAATTTTAAACCTCAAAACTGCGTAAGAAATAGAATTTTTTTAGCCTTTGAGTTCAAATTTCTCTAGCCTTCACTTATTCTAAGCCATCAAATAGACTTTAGAATTTCTCTTAACAGAGATCTAGATGGTAGTACAAGGGCAATCGGAAGTTTGATGTACTTGTCATGGTGTTCATTGGTCATACATTAAAATTAATTCCATGACCTTGAGGTTAAATTCAAATTGGAAAGAGGAATTTTGACTAACATAGATGCATAATAAATGAAGTAGAAAAGTACAAATAAAACAAAGTAGATAATAGAAGAGAAACCACAATGTGCTAATCTAATCCATAAAAAGCAACAAATACTAGAACTGCAATTGTTCAAGCTTAATCCACTCAAATAGATCTCTATAACCATAAAACAAGGATTATAAAGGATAGGACAAAAGATGAAACCTATTGATGACATTTTTTTTTTTGGAATTTAGAAATAAAGACCAACATAGTTTGCAAATTGCAGAGTTTTAAGTAATTTTTGAAAAGTTGGCAAATATGATTGTGGCACCCAACTTACGAAACTTCGCCAACAATAGTGCAAACACTTTTTGCATAACCTGTTAGAGCATATAAGAATAAATGTAACTTGATTATAAATTATTTTTTACTGAAAATGTAAAACTGTTTCATATTTCAATCCAATTCTCATACTCCCTAAAAAGATTTAATAATCATAGAAAAACCATCTAATTATTGTCATATCTCATATTGTTGTATCTGTTTTAAGAAATTGCACAGATTACAAATAATTGCATCATTATAACAATAAAAAGTATAGAACTGAACAAAAACAAAAAATTGTTCATGATTCTTCTTGCTACTTATATTATGTTCATGTAAATTGTATTTTGCAGATCAATTCTTACTTTGTAGATAAACTTCTAAGGATTGTTCGTGATATCATTCTTCATATGAAGGGAACAAGCAAGTCTAATATTGACCAACATGATGGAAATCCATTAGTCAATAATACCAATATGGGAGATCCTACACTAGAGTTCATTAAGCATGTTTGTGTTGTTCAAACAATCTCATATCAACAAGGGAGATTAGCTTGCCTAACTCACGAGGAATAGAGTAGATTATAGAATCGAGAGAGAGAGAGAGAGAGAGAGAGAGAGAGAGAGAAAAGAGGGTATAGATATGAACCTTTCTGCCTTCTTTCAATGCCTTGATCTCCAATTCTTGATCCTTATCTACACAAACGAAAATCAACCAAATCAAACAAATCGGGAAGGAAAAGCTTCACAGAGAGAGAGATCAAACTTCGAACTCACCTTAGTAAATGATATTGAGAACTTCAGATGATGGAGCTTTGAAATCAAAATCGAAATGGAGATCCTTCGATTCGTGAGAGTTGAGAGAGAGAGAACAAGCGAGAGACGGAGTGAGAGATTAGGGCTATTATTTTCCTCGGTGATTCACCAGCCCATTTTGTGTAAGAGAGAGCATGTGTTTAGACATTTGAAGGCATTTTTAAATGACTTGTATTATCAAAACGGTGCCATTTTAATTTTTGAAAAAAACTACGGTTAAAAAATGTCGTTAGATATTATAAAAAATGGCATTTAAAAAAACACCGTTAAATGAACGTCGTCAAAACCCACATTAGTGGCTGCCGAGGTATTTAGTTTGACATCTATACCAATGAGGCCCATTTTGTTTAGACACAACAAAGAAAATTGAATTCAGATGCCCTGTATAGTGTAGTGTATTCTCCCAAAACATCATCATTTTGGGATTATATTACATTTACTGGGTCTTTTGGGCACTACTTAAAAAAGTATAAAAAATTTATAACATAAGCACAATAAATGTAACATAACTTCAAAAACGAAATTATTTTGGAGCACTTAGATGTATTACAAAAGCACAATAAATGTAACATAACCTCAAAAATGAAATTTGTTCAGATTGTCCAACATTTATTTTGTGGTGATCTTCTTTTCTGTCATGATATTTGCTAGATATCAGTGAATGTGACAACCCTAACCTCAACGATTGCACAAACATTCATATCAATACCGCTGGAATTTATACTAGTTTTTGCCCAAAAGGCCACAGTGGGAATGGAAGAAAATGAGAAGGCTACATTTTGTATCAACATCACACATTGCAGAATATGCTCCCTATAGGTAAGATATTCTAATAGATGCATTTTGATTTCTAGAAGTTTAAATTTTTCAAAAAAATGGAAAACAAACAAACAAACAAATCACTACCACACAACAGGTTAACAGCATTATAAATCACTAACATTGTCAATTGAGAATGATAGTTTTTTTAATATTAATTTTTATTATTATTCTATTAACATAAATGCAGGAAGCATTGGTTTCCTCAGTATTATATTTGTCATCATCTCTAACATATATTGGGTAATTTAGAAAAGAAAGATCCAAAAGCTCAAAGAAAAATTCTTTAAACAAAATGGTGGCATAATGTTACAACAATTACTTTCAAATTCCAAAATTGAAGAAAATTCTGCCCAAAAAGCACAAATTTACACAGAAGAAGAGCTCAACAAGGCAACAAACAATTTCAGTGAAAGCAATGTCGTTGGCCAAGGAGGTTACAGAACAGTTTACATAGGAACTCTAGCAAATCCCATGGTTTTTGCCATCAAGAGGTCCAAAGTAGTAGACCGTGGCCAAATCAAACAATTTATCAATGAAGTGATCATTTTCTTCCAAATCAAACACCCAAATGTCATAAAACTTTTAGGTTGTTGTTTAGAGACACCGGTTCCATTACTAGTCTATGAATTTATCACAAACGACAACCTTTTCCACCACTTGCATGATGAAGGATTTGTGTCGTCAATGGCATGGAAAATGAGGCTAAGAATAGCGACTCAAACCGATACAGCTCTTGCACATATGCACTCTGCTCCGATGCATATAATTCATAGAGATGTCAAGTCTGCTAATATACTCTTAGACGATGAGTACACTGCGAAAGTGTTTGATTTCGGAGTTTCAAGATTGGTTCCTATGGATCAAACTCAATTGTCCACATTAGTGCAACCAACACTTGGGTACATAGACCTTGAGTACTTCCATTCAGGTCTCTTAATGAATAAAAGTTATGTTTACAGCTTTGGGGTTGTACTTGTCGAGCTTCTAATTGGTGAAAAGTCTGTTTTGATGGATAGGCCTGAAAAGCACAGAAGCCTAGCTACGTATTTCATTCCTTTGTTGGAAGAAGTTCGGTTGAATAAAGTTCTTGAAAATCGAGTGGCAAAAGAGGGAGATTCTGAGTAGATCAAAGGAGTGGTTGAGCTTGCCAAGAAATGCTTGACTTAAAGGGGATAAAAGGCCTTCAATGAAGGAGGTAAAAGATGAGCTTGAGGCATTGGGGAATAGTGTGAAGAAAATGGTCAAAGTTGGATCAGATTTGGAAGAATATTAGCTCTTGATGAGTGAACCATTCAATTTGTATGAAAGTGATACATTAATTGGCTTTGATAGCCTAAGAAGAGAAGTGGTATTGCAAATAGATGATGGGCAATGATTGGTCGTCCCAATTTTCCATGCACGTAGCAAAATTATTGTTGTATAGTATTTAGGTCATTTACCTAGAAAACATGTGAAAATCACAGAGCCATATAGCAGAGAAATAAGATCTGTGATTCTATGAATTTGTTTTTTGCAGCCAGTTATAAGATTAGAAGTGCTGTAAAATTATGCTTTTAACAACTCTGAATTTTTAGGCCACAAACGATATATGACTGGCTTTGTGTATTCTTGAGATGTAATGCCAACTGACTCACGACTTGTTAAAAGGTCGTTGAAATTGATTCATTATATAAACAAACTAATCTTGAACACATTTTGAAACTTGTTAAGTTATTAAGTAGAGCTTGAACAACCTAGTATTCGGTTTGACCCGGCTCATTTACAACCCTTTTAATAATGATAACACAAACATGAATTCAAGTCTTGTACTCCGTACTTCCAAGGATCATTCATTTTTACATGTTTCAACATTATTCAAAGAGTGAACTGAAGTTAAAATCATTGACTGACTTACATGCTTTTTAAGTAGTTAGATGAGATAAAAGAGATCTAATTGAAATTTTGAACAAAACATTTATGTTAAAAAAAAAAGAAAAGGAAATGGGGTATAAATCTATATAAAAAAAATTCAAAATGTAATTTGGTAGTACAATTTGACAAATGAGTAACTGTTTTAAATTTTTGAATTTCTCGAGGACTTGTTTATAAATTCTTACATTTCATCGTCATCGAACTCTGATTAGACAAATAAAGCTTCTAGTTTCTAATTGAATTCATCATTTACTTTGAGGTTGAGAAAACCACCAAATCTGACAGTAATCTCTGCAACCTTCGGCCATGTTTGTTTGAATTTATATGAATTTAGAGTGGGTTAATAATTGAAGCAGTTACATCTGATATTTAGTTAAGAAAATTGAGGTTTGGATTAATAGTCCATTCAAGCATCGTATCCTTATTGGAGGGACTATTGAATCTCAAGAGGGGGAAGGTAGGATACAGAATGAAAGATTAAGGAAAGGTTCCAACTAATTAATCAAATTATAAAATTGATTGAAGCGACATGGTTCTCATTCAAGTAGTTTTGGGTTCCAGTTATTATAGAAACAACATGGTTCTCCTTCAGCTCTACTCCTAACTTTTGTTCACTACGAATCTATTGAGATTATTATTAAACTATGGTTCAAACTTGTCTTGAGGGAGCATCTCGTATCCTACTAAGCTCATCTAGCCCCCTCTTATGGGAATTCCATTTCCACCAAAAAAATCATTTTGAGAAAATCTAAAAATCCTCGAGATATTGATTTGTGATTATGTATCAATTTTAAGCAGTAAATAACCATCCCAATCAAACAATCAAAGACGAATCGACACAAAGATTTAACATGGAAAAACTACAATTGGAGCACCTCCAATTGTGATCAAAAAAATCACAGACCAAAGCCACAAAACAATACACTAAGAAGGCAAAAAGAATTACACAAGTGTACTCTCAATTACCTAGCGAATCTATGCCCGAATTGAACTCACCCCAATCTGCCTCATCCACCACCGTTTTCACCTCAGAATTGTCTTATCCAACATTGAATCCACAACGTTGATGTCGAACCCACGACGATGAACCACTCCGAAATCAACCAAAGCTTCAGGCCTAAATTCCTTGAAATCCACCGAAGAACAACTCTCTCTTCTGTGAATAAAAAGAAATAAACAAACCCCTTGATGATGTTGATATAAAGTTCATGGATCCATTGATCATTCTTAAATCATTAAGAAAAGCCTCATAAATCACCCTCCAATATAAAACACTTTGATTTTTCTTCCTCTTTGAAAATCTGGACAACTTAAACCCTAAAAACAGCGAACAACGCACTTTATAGAAAACAAGATCGCGTAGACTACTCGAGCGCACATTTCACCGTTCAAGCAGTGGGACTAAAGGCGGTATGAAACATATAGGCTGACCGCTTGAGCGCAACTTTGACCGCTCAAGCACACATTTTACCGCTTCAGCGGTGTGACTAAAGGCTATGCGAAACATATCGGACGATCGCTCGAGCGTAACTTGGACTGCTCGAGTGGTGAAACTTTCTTCCTAGAAGTTCAGACACTCTACAAAAGTACTAGATGATCCTTTTCTTTGCTCAAGCTCACAAATGACCGCTCGAGCGGTCAAACAACTTCGACTGCAATTTTGTACTTGGTTAGCAAAGTGGAAAACATGACAGGATTAAGATCACAAACTCCTCTGCATAGGCACAATTTGGTTAGATTCACATCTAAACACTCACATCCTCGCTGAAACATAAAAGCGAATAAAATTACAACTGAACGGAGTTTTGTCAAACAGGATTGTCAATTACAAAAACCTAACACATTCAATATGCCCAATTTCTCAGTATTATTTATTAAATTGTTTAGGATTATAATTTATTTTCAATACAGATTATGTTTTTTTCACAATTTACCCTTCAATATAAAATCACAATTTGTGGTACACCCAAATAATAAACAAATCAATTCAAAAAAGACTCCCTCCATCACTTCCTCTCTTCTGAGTGACTGTACTCCCTCTCTCTCTTCCTCTTTTCTCACCCACGGTACTCCCTTACTCTCGTCATTGGCAAATACTGAAGAAGAAGAAGAAGAAAAAGGACATTGTTTCATCCCCACAAGTAAGTAAATTCCTCATGTTTTTTCATTAATTTCAGTTTTGTTGTTTGGGATAGTGGTTATAGGTTTTTCAGAACCGTAATAGCTAATTTCAATTTCTTATCTTCGCTAAAGCCATTCAGCCTTGGTATGTTGAATCTGTTGTCTTTGTTCAGGCTTTCAGAGCTAAACAACATTGTTTTGTTCAATAGTACACTGTCGAATAAAACAACTTGGTTCAGCTTTGAAAGGACGAACAATGTTAACGTAAAGCAAGTAGAATCTGTATTTTTACATAAAAAGAACCACACAGAAATCAAGAATTATACTTTGATATTTATGTGAATACTTACCTCCTCTTTGATGGATTGCTTCAAAAAAATACTTTTGATTATTATTCTCATATATTGTTTAATTTTGTTCAAACTTTTTTCTATTTGCAAGTAATAACATAATAAGAAACAATGATGTTGATGAGAATGATGAGTTTTGGTGGGATCAATTGGAGTTTTGGAGTGAGGAAGAAGATGAAAAGAAAATAATTGAAACTTGGAGAAAAAGATAAAGAGACTTGAATATGAAGAAAATAAGATTAGGGTGTACCATGAGAAAAAAAAATATTTTTGTTTAAGGATTTCATGTGTATTATCCTTATTAGTAAATTTATATTAAGGTATAGTAGAAACTAAAATTTTCAAATTTTAGTTGAGTGAGTAAATAGAATGTTCCCCCTCTCATATGATCAGCAAGGGTGTAAAAATGGCTTGGCCTGGTCCACTCTCAGGCGTTGCGGACTCTCACCAAAAATCAGGTAGGGTCAGGCCCGCTTACTCGTGCAAAAAATCTCGGCCCAGCTCAAGCCCATTGAAATTTGGGCCTTAGGCTGGGCCGGGCCTTTTTTTGTGTGTGTGTGTGTGTGAGTATGTGTGTATGTGTGTGGTTTTTTTTTTTTAAAGGCCATAAAAAATAATGAACATCTCAGGGGAAAAAATGATAAGATTTAAAGAATAATTTTTATTTGAAAATGAAATGAAATGTTATAAATTTGTATCATCAAATAAAATAGATATAGACTATTGATGGTACATCACTATAGGTCAAGTACATCCCAACTAGGTTGGCACCTACTAGCCTACCAATCATTTACATTATACTCCACTTCAATAATCTAATAAAAATATTACAAAATTAAATTGTGAAAAAAAAAATTTGTTGATCAATCAACAAAGGAGTTGGACAATTCATCCATAAATCTCTTTTTCACTACAATCTTGTCTTCTTTTGCTTGCATGCAAATGATCTCTCAGTATCATAAGTGCCTCAACCATTTTAGGTGAGAGTCTGCTACGGTAAACACTCAACACTTGTCCACCTGCACTAAAAGTTGTTTCAAAATCCACTGTAGAAATAGGAACGGTTAGTGAATTACGGGCCATTTGTATAGTGACTCTGGTTTAAATTTAACTTGTTTATTATTTTGGAACTGGGATTTCTTGTCGTATTTGGTTGTTCATGCCCTTATTTATCTTGTACTTCATTGAGTTTGGCTATTACAGTATTATTGTCGTGTTTGGAATAGGTTGGTAGCTTGTTTTTCTAAGGAAATTCTGTCCAGATTTTGGCCTCTTTGCTTGAGCGGTCTTTTTGTCGCTCGAGCGGTCCTAGTGAACTCTCAATACTTTTGTAGGTCTGCAAAAGTACTAGAAGGTGGTCTTCGTAGCTCAAGCAGTCCATTTTATGCTCCAGCGGTCTGGGCTTAAGCGGTCATTCTTGTGCTCGAGTAGTCTTTGGGAACTCCCAATACTTTTGCAGGACCACAAAAGTATTAGAAGGTGGTGTTCTTCGCTTAAGCGGTACTTTGTTCGCTCGAACAGCCTCATTTATTATGTCTCGTTGCTCGAGCGACCATTCTTGCGCTCGAGTGGCCTGCGCGTATATCAGTCCGTAAAGTCACCTTTTTGGATCACATTTTCACATCACTCTCTCTCTCTCTAAACACTCAAAATTCTTATATCTCCTTCCTCTCTCTCTCTAGTTCTTGAATATTTGGCCCAAAAACACTTTGATCCACCAAGTTCTCCACCCTAGTTCCTTTG